GACGACATCTAACATCACGTTTATATGATATTCATGGAGCTGCTCCAGTGATAGTCATTAATCAACCGTTTTGCAGTGAAATATGCAAACATTTTCGCACATAAAAGGCAAGAGATCAGGTCATGTAAGGAAGGTTGACAAACTGTGCTGTGCCCTTGGCCACAGAGTGGCATTAATGACAGAATGGCATAATTTGCAGGGCGAGCATACATGCACACTCTTTGGTGGCTCACAAACTCGGCATGCTTCGCCAGAAGCTGAGATGAGTCTCTCAACGAAACCGCTCACGACTGCCCAATAGTCAGTCCTTCTACGACAACACCAAAGGTAGAAATTCACTGAGACTGTTTACTGCTGCAGGAAATTCTGTAGGTAAAGATGAAACACGGTGGCTCCAAGCAGCACACATGAAGACATAGAGACTGGATCCCTCCATGGACTTGATGTAGCACTTCGTATTGGACTGTTCCACGTCTGTTTACAAGGCACCATTACGGGGGATAGACAATCCGTGGAATAAGGGCAGAACAGTGCGACGAAAAGTAGACCATCGAGCTCCTCACTTCAACTTTCACCATAACAATACGATGCTGTCAAAACCGATGGCGATGCATTTGAACACCTCCACTGATGATGCCTGCAACAACGATAGAAAGGAAAGTCAAGTGTGCTGGACTTCAATGCTCTGCTTCCACAAGGCAAATGGGAGCACAAGTCAAAGTCATAACCTTAGTGAGACTTGTGAGGGAGGTCAAGGAGTCCCAAACAACACATAGATGGATACTCCTAGCCAAGCCGCACCAGGGAGGTAGTTAGGCTAAAAAGACTTGGACCACGATCGAACAACCGCGAAGTCTGCAGAACGCATTACACATTTACAAGGCAATAAGGAGAATCTCTCGTGTGTGAGTGCGTGTACGCTTTAAAACCACCTCAAATGTCTCCTTTATTTCCAGTTTCAGGAAGAAGGCATTGTACAGCAAACTTGAATTCTCTGAATCAGGGAATCCGGCACCACCGGAATTTTATGACTGGAGCATGGAGAAGGCAACATTTTC